TCCTGATCCCCTGATTGACCTGCATGTGCTGTGTGATGACACTCAGGATTATCCCTTCCATAACATTGTCCGGAACCGAGGTCAGGCTGACTGGCCTGTAGTTCCCCTGATCGTCCTTCTGACTCTTCTTGTAGATGGGTGTTACGTTTGCTTGTTTCCAGTTTGCCGGGGGCCGGGTATCCTGAAGGCAGCTGGTCTTGGTATTGAAGACTGAGGTAAAGAAGGCATTGAGCACTTCTGCCTTTTCCACATCCCCAGACATTACACCACCTTCTGCATTCCGCAAATGGTGGAGACTCTCCTCGACCCTTCTTTTGTTGCTAATGTATTTATAGAAAGTTTTTTGTTATCTTTTACTGCAGTGGCCAAGTCAAGTTCCAGTCGAGCTTTGGCCCTTCTAATCTTCTCCCTATAGCCCTCCCAAGTTACATGACCCTCCTTTTCCTTTAGGTAGATCAATCCTATACTAGCTCACAATTGCCTTATCGTCTTCCTGCATATGTAATTTTTTTTCTTTTTTTTCGGGATGATAATAAATTTCCCTTCCTTCGTGCCCTCTTCGAGCTTGAAAACGCTTAGAGAGCAGTATTAAATCCTATTTCCTTGGTACACCACCTGCACCCAAGTCTTTTTTTTTCTTATAATGTTGTTAATGTGAGGTTAGCTTATAGTTACTACCTCAGGGTAAGAGAACTGTGGCATGTCCATTTTCAAGGATTGTTCTGTTTAAACACCACCCGTGGGGAAGGAGATACCCATACACTTACCCTAGTGCAAATACCAAGTAATCAACATTTCAATTAAAGGTGATTTGCTTGTATCATGTGGGTGTGCTTACATCCTTGCATTGCAAAGTTATCTTTTATAGTATCTTTAATAACAGTCACACAGTATCTAGCCACCACAGTTCTGCCTCCTTAGTAATCACTGAAGTGGCAGCTGGTTTGCTGTCCAGCCTACACATAAGGACTGTATTGAAACAAAATTTATCTTCACTGGCATATTATGCTTCACATTAGTCTTTAGGTGCAGTTGGCACTAAGGATGCAGAACTTGTCCTTCATGCAGGTTTTGATCAATACACTTTGCACCATCCAGAGTAAAATCATAGAATCACAGAATGGTTTGGTTGGAAGGGACTGTAAAGTTCATCTATTTCTAACTCCCTGCCATGAGGAGGGACACCTTTCACTAGACCAGGTTGCTCAAAGCCTCATCCAACCTGACCTTGAACACTTCCAGGGATAGGGCACCAACAGCTTCCCTGGGCAACCTGTGCCAGTGCCTCATCAACCTCACATTAAAGAATTTCTTCCTAATAGCCAATCTAAACCTTCCCTCTTCCAGTTTAAAGCCATTGCCCCTCGTCCCATCATTCCAGACCCTTGTAAAAAGTCCCTCCCCAGCTTTCTTGCAGGCCCCTTTAGGTACTGGAAGGCTGCTATAAGGTGTCCTCAGAACCTTCTGTTCTCCAGGCTGAACAAGCCCAACTCTCTCAGCCTGTCCTCATCGGAGAGGTGCTCCAGCACTCTGATCATCTTTGTGGCCCTCCTCTGGACATCCATGTCTTTCTTTTTTGGAGGGCCCAGAGCTGAGTGCAGTATTAGAGGTGGGGTGTCACAAGAGCAGAGTAGAGGGGGAGAATCACCTCCCATGACTGCCCAGCCCAATCCATTCTCTGTCCAGCATGTATTTGTGCTTGGGATTGCCCCGACCCAGGTGCAGGACCTTGTACTTGCCCTTGTTGAACTTCATGAGGTTCGCACAGGCCCACCTCTCAAGCTTGTCAAGGTCCCTCTGGATGGCATCTCTTCCCTCCAGCATGTAAACAGCACCACACAGCTTGGTGTTGTCGGCAAACTTGCTGAGGGTGCACTCAATCCCGCTGTCCATATCTCTGACAAAGATGTTAAACAGTGCCAGTCCCAACACTGACCCCTGAGGAACACCACTCGTCACCAGTCTCCACTTGAACATTAAGCCATTGACCGCAACTCTAAGTGCAACTATGCAGCCAACTCCTTACCCACCGAGTTGTCCATCTGTCAAATTCACATCTGTCCAATTTAGAGACAAGTGTGTCATGCGGGTCAGTGTCAAATGTTTTGCATGAGTCCAGATAGATGATGTCAGTTGCTCTTCCCTTATCCCCCAATGTTGTGACACCATCATAGAATGCCACCAAATTTGTCAGGCACGATTTGCCCTTAGTGAAGCCGTGTTGGCTGTCACAAGTCACCTCCTTCTTTTCCCTGTGCCTGCGCATAGTTTCCAGGAGTATCTGCTCCATGATCTTGCCCGGCACAGAGGTGAGCCTGACTCGCCTGTAGTTCCCCAGGTCTTCCTTTTTTCCCTTTTTAAAAATGGGGGTTATTTTTCCCCTTTTCCAGTCACTGGGAACTTCCCCAGACCGCCATGATTTCTCAAATATGATGGATAGTGATGTAGCCACTTCATCTGCCTTTTCCTTCAGGACCCACGGATGCATCTCATCAGCTTCCATGAAGTTGTGCACCTTGAGGTTCTTTAGATGATCTCAAACCTGATCTTCTCTTACAGTGAGCAGTTCTTCGTATTCCCTGTCCCTGCCATTGCCTTCTGCGACTTGGGCAGTATGGTTGGAGCACTTGCTGATGAAGTCTGAGACAAAAAAGTTATTGAGTACCTCAGCCTTCTCCATGCTTCAGGCAACCATGTCTCCCATTTCCTTCCGGAGAGGGTCCACACTTTCCCTAGTCTTCCTTTTATCACCAATACACCTATAGAAGCTTTTCTTGTTGCCCTTGATGTCCCTGGACAGATTTCGTCCATGCAGGCCTCCTGGCGTTTTTGCCTGACCTCCTCTTGGTCATCGCTCCTGAGCTTGGAGGAGGTGATCCTTGAATATTAACCAGCTTTCTTGGACCCCTCTTCCCTCCAGGGCTTCATCCCATGGTACTCTACCAAGCGGCTCCCTGAAGAGGACAAAGTCTGCTCTCCTGAAGACCAGGGTAGTGAGCTTGCTGTATGCCCTCCTTACTGCCCTAAGGATCTTGAACTCCACCATTTCATGGTCGCTGCAGCCAAGGCTGCCCTTGAGCTTCACATTCCCCACCAGCCCCTCCCTGTTGATGAGAACAAGGTCCAGCATAGCACCTCTCCTCATTGGCTCCTCTATCACTTGCAGAAGGAAGTTATCATCAACACATTCCAGGAACCTCCTGGATTGCTTATGCCCCACTGTGTTGTCCCTCCAACAGATATCGAGGTGTGGAAGTCTCCCATGAGGACCAGGGCTTGTGAACGTGAGGCTGCTCCTATCTGTCTACAGAGGGCCTCATGCGCCTGGTCATCCTGGTCAAGCGGTCTGTAGCCACTCCACTATAATGTCACCTGTCCTGCCCTCCCTTTAATCCTGACCCATAGGCTCTTGGTTGAGTCCTCATCCATCCCCAGGCAGAGCTCTACCCACTCCAGCTGGTCACTGACATAGAGGGCAACACCCCCTGCTTGTCTCCCCTGCCTGTCCTTCTGAAAGAGCCTGTATCCTTCCATTCCAACACTCCAGTCATAGGAGCCATCCCACCACGTTTCTGTGAAGCCAAAAAGGTCACAGCTCTGCAGCCATGAATACATCTCTAATTCTTCTTGTTTATCCTCATGGTACAAACATTTGCATAGAGTCATCCCCTCTTGTTGGAAACCTGCTCAGGAAAACCTGGCCGTACGCTGCAATTCCCTGCTGTGCTGGAGAACACACCTGCACTGGAGACATTCACCTCAATAAACTTACTTCATAACTCTTTATTTAATAACTCCTCCAATTGAACAATATATCTCTACCTAATAAAGAATCATAACTTCTTTTTCACCTTTAAAGATACTAAAAGCATGATAAAGACTTCTTGAGGCACCAAACGACTCTCAGCTCTGGTCCATCCAGAAAGGTAACAATTCTAAAACCCCAGATCGAGCATATTCCTCTTCTTCCTGGGCCACAGAAAATAGTACAAAGTGGGGGGGGGGGGAAACAAAAACACTCTTCTGCAACGTTGAAGATCTTCATTAATTTTTCTAGAATAATACTCAAACAACTTTGCTTTCTCATTAGACTAAAATCTGAGCCTTCCCAGAGCAACATTATAATCCTTCATTATAATCCTACAAGTTCCAAGCAGGTTCAAATCCTCTCTTTCGGCCCAGCTTCAGGTCCTTACTTTAAAGTCTGTGTGATTTCTTCATGTGTTATATAGAGTATTTGACTACCTGTCTCATATAAAATACTGTACAGTAAAAGGGAAGGAAGAGACACTTTTTGTAACTAAGTATATCACTGTGTTGAGAACTTGGAGTAGCACAGTGCCACAAACACTGTAAGGTCTCATACAAAAACCTGAGACTGCACAAGGAATAATACATTTTGAGGATGAAAGAAAAAAAGAGAATGTGATGGAGAACTGCAGAATTCCTATGAGCATTTATTCTGTAAGTATACGGCTTACCGAGCTAACAGAAAAGGGTTTTAAAAGCTTTGACCTGGATCAAGTTGTTTGAAATCAGTCTACTACAAAATTATGATTTTCTCCCCTCACGATTTTGGTGACTTTGGAGCACTTTCATGGCAGTCTATGTATGGATCCTTTGGACAAACCGCTGGCATTTTATTCCCTGATTTTATACCCCTTTAGAGTGTGCTGAGGAAAGTGGGGTTATTTGATTATATGCAAACAGTGTGGCAACAGACAAGCTCGTATTTGGAACTGGGATCACTTTTTCAGTTGAGCCAAGTAAGTTCCACTTGTTTTACTACTAATGTATTTCTTAATTTTGTGGTGGGGTGGACAAAGGGATTGTGTGATGTCACAGCATAAAGAGAAATTTCTGCTGCCTCAGATCTCTTGAATATGCATTCTACAACCAGGTGTTTGAGTCCTCAGCTCATATTTATTTAACAAAGCTTTTCAGGAACAACAAAGATAGTTTCCTAGCTATGTACATCAGCATTACTCCACAGATCCTCATCCCCTCTTGTATCTGCACTGCTAAATTTAAGACTCTTGTTTATAGCCAGTGGGGATGGTGTCTTAGCCCAGCTTCAGTACGAGGTGAACAGAGTTGCTTGCTTTCTTTTGTGTAACGCTAAGGTGCACGGAAAGGAAAAAGGGAGATGTAAAAAGTTTCAGCAGAAAGTAGTTCCCAGGGAAAGACAGGGCACATTATTTTTTGCAGCAACTGAAATGTGAGCAAGCCTTTCATATTTAGAAATGGCACTCTTCTGATGTGGTCTTTATAAAGACAGACCATCTTCCCCAGCTTTTGTGTCACAGCTTGAAAGTTGTGGCAATGGGTGAGTTTGCTGGGTTTACTTTTATTGTCCTAAAACATTCAATCGCATATCACCACCTGAACACACACACTCCCCAGACAGGCGTGCGACTCTTTTAGGTGCTAGCTCACATCTGCAAGCCTCATAGAGCTATAGAGCTGCCTTTAAATCTTTAGGTTATCTTACATGCCTATTTTGGGGTAAATGAATGCAGCTCTATTTTCTGTGTGAGTAGGGAATCCAAAGATACTATTTTGAAAACACAATTTGCAAAAGTAAGACAGCAAGATACTGCCAGCTTCCATCAGCCCAGCCTCAATGTATGCTAATATAAACTTGCCAGTTATCAGTACAAAAGGTATTCTACCATGAACAATCAACCAACAAAAGATGTTGGTGAGTGACACTCTAAGCAATGGTATTACCTTTTCAGACAAACACAACAGCCCTAATGTGAGGTTCAGTTTCTAAACAGAAAGTATCTTGCATGCTTTTTAAAACAAATTGGGTTTCAGACCTGTTATATCAGTAATTGCTGTGTCATGGCGCCTGTTCTTCAGGAAAGAGGGAAAAAATTATTTCCCCTAACAGTAGGCTTTAGAAACTATTGGTTCCTCCGAAGACAAGAATAAATTTTCCAGGTTTCTACAATGCTGGTATCCTACTCTTTTTAGTGCCTTCCTCCCCACCCCCCCATCCCCCATTTCCATGGAAGATATTCAAAAGGACTTAAAAGAGCTGAAAGTACCACAGGAGCTGGACCTCCTGAGAATCTACAAGCACAAAAGACATAGAAACCATCCTTTAATTACTACACAGTTTTTAAGACATCTCCTCCTGAGAATTCAGTAACAGAATAGCTAAGGAATTACTTGGTTCATTCCCTGTATACTTCTCATTGGAGAAAGACAAGATCCACAAGAGGATGCAATTTATAGCCAATTCTGTGATTTTGTAAGATTAAGAGGAAAAAGAAGTATGATTGTTTGAATATTAGCTGCTTTTTGTGTGCAATACAAATATAACCGCTCACACACACGGACAGAGTACAGAGACGCCCTAAGAATCTACAACAGATCTGTTTCAGAAGGGCCAGCCAGAGAGAAGACAGAATAAATAGTGTATTTGGAATGGCACTAAACTCCTCTGTTAGACACCTCAGCGTTGTTCAGGGTTATGCAGTGAAAGGGCTCGGCGTTACGGTCTCATGACTTGGAAAGCTCTCCGGAGCTCACATACTATTCACTTGTTAAGAGAGGTTTATATGCTTGGGTCAAGTTCCACATAGAAATATTACAGAAACTTTCAAAGAATAGAATTTGAACAGAAAACCTCCTTGGAACTGAACATTTGTTAATGAAAGATTTAACCTCATCTTCCATTTTAGCAACATTATTTCATAGCTGAAAGTATTCCCACTCATTGGAACAGCATTGTAGAGTGGAGTAACAAACTGTCTTCTCTCCCTGTGTGCTATGGTTTAGCCTTTTAACCTCATCACGTAAAGGATTTCTGGGTAATTAAAAAAAGGATCTTTCAATATGTATCATATTACAAGCATATAAGCCTACCCTTGAAGTAAATATTCTTCTTGGTATCTAATTGTTATGAATTCAAAATTAATATGATAATTTGTATTGTATTCTTAAAAGTTCCCTGATTCATTTCAAGGTCCCTCACTTAAAGGAATTCACTCTATATATATATAAGTTCTGTTAAGAACAAGCTTAGGAGCTGAAGGGATTAGAAGCATCAATGAAAACCCCACCCTTATACTCTCTTTGTATCTTTGAGAAAATAAAGTCATCCCAAAATGACACTTCTTTTTCAGAGAGTCAAGAAGAATCTGCCCCAGAAGTCATTCTGCTTAAATCAAAGGAAACCAAACAATATGACAACAAACTAAACATGGCTTGTTTGGCAAGGACTTTCTACCCTAAGAATATCAGCCTTTATGTGCCCAAAAGTGACACCGTATATGATCTGAAGGCACCTCTTGTCACATCTGAGGGAATGTATAGTACCATGAAAGCAGTTAGAGTGGAACCAGATGCAAAGGTGATCTGCAAGGCTATGCACAAGGGGAACAGGACTACAGCCAGCATCATTCTGCCAGGTACAGTGTTGTGGTCCAAATGCAACATGATTCTGGGAGATGCATCTTCCAAGATTTTTTCTTGCCCTTTGAGAACCTAGCAGGAATAATTAAGTACAGTCAGAAAGATATTTAGGCACTTAGCTACGTGAAGATGAGATATTGAAAATCATCTAGCATTCCTGACCTTAATTCAATTATTTGAGCACTTGGAGTTTTCTTCCCAAAAAAGAAACAAAAAAAACCAAAAAAAACCCCAGAAAAATAACCCTAACCCCCCCCTAATCTCTAATATTTGTGACTTTACCTTTATCTAAGGCAAAATAGTTCGAGAGGCATGAGTATACTTGCCTGCTAGAAAAAAGCTTGAAATAACACAACACAAAATAAAAAAGGACATGTGATTTTTTTTTTTTCCCCAAATCTTTTGGTTATTTTCTGATCACTTTTTAAATTTTATTTTTCCTATGGTAAAGTTAATTTCAAAAGGGAGAAAAAATAGAACTGAACAATCCTGTGGGAGGGGGTCTGCAATCACATGTAGAAATCTACGTTTTCTCTTCAAGTTAAGCTCAGAATTAATGATCTGCCAGGGTTCTCCAAACCTGCTTATCTACTGCTGGGAAAAGAGCTACAGGTATGTTTTTTTGTATTTTTTTTTATATAGTTTGGATAGAACTTATAGTATCTCTTAATCATTCAACAGAAGAGAAAACTGAAGAATTTGAAAGAGTTAATGCTTGCAACGTTACAGATGCCTCTACAAAAGGTTAGTTGCCTAAAAATCAATAGAGTATTGGTACTTGATTGGGGATTCAGTAACAATGCATGAAAATGCATTGTCTTTGCTACAGAAATGCCTGAATTGTAGACACTTGCTAAGCGATAAGCTGCACTTTTTGTGGACTCAATACCAAAACATGAAAAATTGCTTTCTCTGGTGCAGAAATGTCAGAATTGGAAACACTTATTGAGAAATAACCTGCTGTTTCAGGTTAACATACTAAATAACTGACAAATTTCCATGGGATAAAACAGCAATGAGAAGTAAATTCCTCACTGGGTAGACGTCTCCTCTCTTCCCTGCACTTAATACACTCCTCTGTCATATTTTCCTTTATTCCTGATTCCATCATCCATCTATGATGTGTGGATTTTTCTTCTTTTTCTTTTTTTTTTTTTTGGGGGGGAGGAGCAGAGTGGAGATAATATCAAGACCTCACTCTCTTCTCCTTTTTAAAGTAGATGTCAAAATGGAGAAAGTGAATATGCTGTTCATGACTGTTTTGGGTTTGAGAGTCCTGCTGGCAAAAACCATCACCTTCAGTGTAATCCTGAGTATCAAGCTGTTTCTCTTCTGAGGTAGGAAACACATCATTCAGTCCCTGGGAATACAGGAGGCAAGTGCAATGAGTGACCAGTTGGCTTTGTGTCTCACCGCAATCCCGCAAGGTGTGAGATCAGTTCAGGTATTCCTGTTCCCACTGGATAAGTCAATGTAACCACCAAATTTCACCTCATCCTCAAATTGCCTTTGCATCAGACTAGTTCAGAGCATCTCAGGTTCTATCAGAAGTCTTCTGCTGAATTTTTCAAGTGGCAGAGCACAAAGTCTGGATAAATGTCCAGACCAGCAAGAACAATAAAGGCAGAATCTCAAAAGCCAACAAATATGAAAAGGTGATGGAAAAAGGAGGAGGGAGAACTCTGAAGCTCAGGTAACCAAAACGACAAAAAAAAAATTTGTCCAATCCATTCCAGATTAACAGAAACTCAGCACCACTGAATTAAATGAGAATAAGAAATTAAAACAAACGTTGTTTGCTTTTCAGGTACTGGGTAAGTGAGCCAGCAGTGGGCTGAAGAAGAGCAGGAAAAAACACACAGCAGGATGATTTGAGCACCATGGGTCAGCTTTGCTACCAATAAACACCTAAAAAACAACTAAACCCTCAGTTCCTGTAGATCTATGAGTCCCTTTACTTCATCAAGGTGCTCTTCAGTTAACACCATCTGGAAGCCTTCTTAGACAGTTAATATTGCTGAACTCTTGTCTAGCTTAGTTTCATTAATTGTTAGAACAATTTTTGTTATTTAGTTCCCTAAGAAATTTCCCTCATCCCTCTACTAAGCAGGAATAGTTAGCTCCCCTACTCCTATATCCATTGTACTGAAGCATCCAAATTGCTTAGATATTTTCAAAAACTTAAATTTGAACTTAATACTTACTATGCTTTAAAAATACTGTCTCTGGTCATATTACATTACTGTCTACAGAAGTAATGCTTTTCTGCTTAGTTTTAATTTTTAGAAGATTTTATTAGTGGCAATTTTCTAGTGCAGGTAACTAGATCTCCACTGGACCTGAAGAAATTCACTTCAGATAGGACACAGTAGTACTTTCATTTCCATCTCTTCTTTAGAATATTTTTCTCTTTTGTTAAGTATATGGCACCTGCATTTTAAGTTTCCTTAATATACACCAAAATAAAGTTTTGTTATACTTGGTTTGCACTGTTCCCTTTCTTCTGAAAGTTGGGTGGAAATTGTTGAAATACCACTGTCCTATCCAGTGACCAGTGAGAAACAGAAAACCACATCTTACATCCTAGATTTCCTTTTTATTAAATTTGTCTTTCTTGGGCTTTGCACAGGGAGAGAGAGAGAGACTCTTTGGCACATTTAAGAGACTTCAGGTAGGTTATGAATTCTGACTCTGTTGAGTTTAAAGGAATTTTAATTATTCATGCCCCTTTCAAATTACTCAGTCTCAAAATTGTGGATCATAACAAAGAGACATAGGTCTAACGAGCATCAATCAAGACAAAGGACAACATGAGCGTTAATGCACAGACATCAGAAGGGGAGAGAACCGGCTGCTCATTTTCCGCTCACCAGTACTAGGAAGGGGCCAACAGGAAACACCGTGGAGTGTTTTGATAGATAACCTAGCCATTTGGTTAAAAAAAACCCCAGACATTGACTTTTGTCTCACAAACTGCAAGCGGCTGCATACTTGAAGCAGGATACTGTGGTTAAAACACATTACTAAATCACGCCATGCAAGACAAACTCCCCCTTGCTTTCAAAAGTGTGTTAACCACTTCCTGGGGGGGCAGGGTCCCCAATGTTTTACAGATGCTGACTGAAGTACTGCTGGCTCCAAAACAGCCCCAGAACGGTGCATGGTGACATCTATTTAACTAACCTTGACACGTTTAGTCGTTCAAACCCTCACTCTTGTCCAGAAGATGTGTCATTTCTGCAGTGAAACCACTGTCTTTAGGTCCTGCAGCTCTGTGGTCAGGTCCCAGGAGCGCACATTTACCATGGCGGTCGTGGTTTTGTTTCTTAGGCATCCCAAGGGCCAGATGGACATGTGGAGCCAGCTAGACTATAAATGTCCCTTGAAACAGCCTCCTTCCTGCCTCAGTTAAGCACACTATACTCCCACTTGTGCAGTCCTAGTGACTCAGCCACACCACCAGACCAGGCTGGACGGCTCTCACAGCACCCACCTTCTACTGTATGGCTTCCTTTGCACTTTGGCTACTCATCCTGAGTTAATTTCACCTGTAGGTAGTGCCCAGCACTCTGGTCCCCTTCCGTCCCCAAGCACGATGCTGTCCCCAGCAGCTCTTTAACAGCCTCCTGCAAGTGGGGTAGCCCCAAACCAAACTGGTCCATGTGACACAGAGCCTGCAGAAACAGAGAGCATTGCTGGGTTGTCGCTAGAAGCCCAGGAACTCTGCAGAAGGTCTTTCCATGGTGTGGATGTTACATACCTCATCCCATAGGCAGCTTCTCCTCGTGACTCTTCCTCACGAGGGCGAACACTAATCCTTTTTGCTTCTGTGGGGCAGGTGCATACTCAGAGGGTTGTAAGGTGAAAGATGCAGCTAAAAGCATCTGCTCATAGAAGCTGCCTTTCAGTGGTAAGCAGTATTGCCAAAGAGGCACTTTCTTCCAAGCTTCTCCCTGTTGGCATTGATTTACTTTAACAGAAAACCTTGCCTTCTGAATACAGAAGGAAGGGTGTGAGATTTCAATACATCACATATATCTGCTCCTTCTTCTGTTACTCCAACAGGAAAACAGTCTATAGATGCAATAATATGCCAGATGAGGAAATATAATCAGTAAGTAGCAAAATGTACATTAGCCTTTTTCCCAGCCCAAAAAGGTGCCAAGGCTGGAAATTCAACTTGACTTTGGCACTGGCCTCCTTGCAAGACCTTCAGAAACTGGTGCATACTATGGATACCAAACGTCATTGTTAAGTGACAGGTGCCAACTTATTTACTTTCCTCTTAACCTCCACAGACCAGACATTTCTCAGGAGAACAGAGGAACAGCAGAGCAGCTTCTGCGATGCGCCTGGGAATCTGGGACTGACCTGTGCCTGTGAGGTGACTCTTGAGATCTGAGAGAAAAGAGTGAGGTGAAGGCACTTCACAGAGGAAAAATGTAAAGAGAGATTTAAGAGGACAGAGCTCCAATAGTACGTTGATAAGGACAGGAGTAGTTGGAGTGGGAGGAAAGGATTTGGATGTGTTGAGAGTGAGTTCTCCTTCATGAGGGGTTACATCTATTCATGGTTAGTTGAGCCTCAGCAGCTGCTCTGGTCCAGAGAGCAGGTTAGCTTGTTTCTCAGTTTGCCTATACATTTCCACGCAGGGCTGGCATGAAAGAACAGACTGAGCTCCAGGTAAGTCCAGCTTGGGACAAGTAGCAGGAGCTGCACATGATGCTCCCTGCCCTCAGGGGAAAACATGAGCCTTCAGGAGTGAATGGTAAAGGCTGACTAGGAGAAAGAACTCTGGGCCTCAGGCAAGTAGAGGACTTTTTGTCATTTCTACTGGAGTTGGAGAGAGTATGAAGCTGGAAAGAGCAGGGCAACAGCATGCGGAGATGAAACTGTGGCATCTGTGGGCATGAGACCTGCTATCAGAGCAGTGTTCCTTCTTAAGCATAGAGCACATTTCTCCTGTGTTCATCTGTGAGTATTGTCTGGGAAATCATCATTCATTTCTGGTTTGGCCAATGTACCTTCTCTTCCGAATACAATCCGCAGAGATGGAGGAGTGAATCATTTCAAACTCCTCCCTCTCAGACAACACATTTGCCTTATCCAGCTCCAGGTGCAGCTGGACCGCTGCCCAGCCCCTATGAGATGTTTGGTCCTGCAGGCGAGGGGGAGGTGGAGCCCAGTGAGGAAGGAAGGGGGGACGGCAGATGCAGAGTTGCCTTTCAAAGGGGAAACTCTTCTTGACCAGGGATCAGAGAACTTCTCCCTGACCCTGCTGCTCTTTTGTAACAGACATTTGGATCTCCCATCTTCTGCTGGACCTGTTCTGTATCACTATACGGTGAGAACCTTACGACCACGCACTTCAGGGCTTTGCCCAGGGAGAGTTCTGATGGCTGCAGAAGCCCTGGGCTCATGTCCTGCTCCACTCCATACTTGTGCCTCAAGGGTGTGAGCTGGGCAAGGGGATATGGGTCTTTCCTGGCTCCCCAAGGCACAGTAGGTGGGGGGCAGGCCCTAGCAGTGTGGGATGGGGCATGGGTCAGCTCGGACCCAGAGCCCAGCCCCAGTCCCACCATCAGGAAGAGAGGGGCACCTCTTAGTTTGTGGGGCCAGAGTATGCTGGGGGTCCTGGGCCCAGACTGCAGAGCTGGGGTCTCTCTGCATTGCTTGGTGTCTGAGAATCTGCCCAGACGCTGTCCCTATTTGTCAGAGGGGTGATTCTGAAGACGGTTTCCAGCAGCATCTCCTGTTTCATGGGACAGACCAGCCAGTGCCTTGAAATGGCCCCTCTGAGAGATGAATGCAGCTCTTCTGAGGCGTGAGAGGAGGCCTCAGCATGGTGATCCCTGTAGAAGAGGATTGGGAGTCCTTTACCCAGCTGTCTCACTACGAGCACTTAGCTTTTATTGTGTTCCTGGCTCTGGATTTCTGGCTTTCTTGCTCTGCCAGAGGGATTAAAGAGATGTTTTTGTTGTTTCGGAGGAATTGAGACTGCCCTGGAGCAGGGCTGCTTGAGGGACCTAAAAACGTTGGGCCTGGGGTGACAAGTGGGTGCTCAATCCCCTGCAAAGCTGCTCAGCCTGACCATGGTGCTTATGTTTGGCTGCCACGTGGAGTAGGGGTGTGAGATTTGATATCTGGCTGGGTCAGGACGTAAGGTTTCACTTCCAGAGGATCTGCAGAATGGGTCACTACGTGTTGGCCCCAGAATCTTTTCCTGCCTGTTTCTTACCTGGTTTTAGCTCTATGATGAATGAGTCAGTTTATGGAGGTCCATGGGAGTGGGTCAGATATCTGTTCTTTTCCTGGACACAACGTGAATTTTTTATTCTGTTCATAGAAAGGAATTTAACAGTACGTGGACTGTTGAAAGGCCTTCCTTTTCTGGAGAAATGAAAGAATTGTCAGTCAGATCAGAAGTCTTGAGAGTGCTCAGCAGGCACAGAAGGACACGAGGGGACTGCCTTCATGGGGGCTCCTTGCTGTTAAATCAGCTGAGAGAAACAGCATCCAGCCCCTGTGCTCTGGGTCAGACCTGTGAATTGCTGATCCGTTTCCTGGCTCTGTGTGTGACGACAGAAATGTTCTGC